AAAAAGACTCCAAAGCATCAAGAGGAGTAGCACCCAAGATCATCTGTCACAGCAATTCTGTAAAAACTAATGTTTCTCCCTGGACCCCACTCCCCAGGCTGTTCCATCCGCGAGGCATCTCGGTATCTCAAGGTGGGCTCCTCCAGTAACCTGAGGTAATAAGCACATCAACAAACACACCACATGTGGTCTCCAATTGCAGAAAAACAAGCTGCTGACGTAAGCAGCCGCTGTTCCATGTGGTAAAGGCGAGAAGCTTAGGGGGAGGCTGAGCTGCAGCCATCCAGCCAGAATGTGGTTGAAACTATAAAACAGTTGTCACAGTCGGTGCCCCCTGACCTGGTGAAATGCACAGGAGGTGCACAGGGAGGGAGGAGAGGCACAGGAGAGAAGGACACAGAAAAAAGAAACCAGACCAAAAGGAAGGGCAAGTTGTATCAGGAGTCTTGGATAGGGGTTTGAATCCTGCCTCTGGCTGGGCGATTCCTTGGTGTTGCCGCCCCTGCAGACCCTCCAATGGCACTGCCCCCTGTCGAAGTGCCTACCCCAGGCTGGGCCCCATGGAAACAGGGGCCAGAGAGCAGCTAGCCAGCTCTCCTTAGTGAGAAATACTTCTATTTGTAAACAAGGACAGAGGAGGGATGCAGCTAGGGAGCAGCTCTCCAATTTGCAGATGGGGAAAAAAAAAAATCAAGCCTCCTCAGGAGGAAAGGACTTTGCCTCAGGCTTCTTTTGGGGCCCAGACTGGGATTCCTAGAGAATAGAGGGATTTTCCCTGCTTTGGACATTTTTTTTAAAGCAGCCAGAAAAAACAGAGCTGCTCCCCACATGATCGTGAGGGGAATTCCAGGTCTAAGCAAACTTTTGGAACCCAGGGGGAATGAGGTTTCCATTTCTTTGCTTGCCTTTGGTTTCCCAATGTCACAGTGTGAGGCTGGGCAGGCAGCCAGCTGATCTCAGGGAAAGAGGGAGTAAAAGAGGAAAAGGAAGAGTGGACAAGGCTGGGAAGAGTGCCTAGCTCTGGTGAGGAATGTGCTCACATCCAGGAGGAATTGGGGCTGATGACAGCCAGCCCTGTGGACTCAAGAGGCCTGTCAATGAGCCTGCTGGGTCTGGGAACCTTACACATGCAAAATTACGAGTGTCTGTATAGGCCTCCAGGGGGTTGTGGAAAGTGTTCATAACAGCTCTTGCCAGATTCATAAGGGCTCCATTGCCCAAAACAGGTTGGAAGCAATTTCTCACTTCACAGATGAAACTGAGGCCCAGAGAAGGTAAACAATCTGTTCAAGGTCGGCACTGACAAGTAATAGAGCTGTGTGCAAACTTAGAGTTTGATGCTAAAGATGATATAAGAAGTTATTCAGACCAAACCAGCGTGAATAAACCAGCATGAATTTAGCATCTATCACATCAAGATTTTGGTGGAAAGCAAGGGGAGAATACAAAAAACTAGTAAAGAAAAACCGTAAGACATTGTTACTTTGTCCAGGGAGTTAAGACAAAACCAGTGCAGAGGTAGCTCACAATAAGGGAGGATGCTTCTACATGTTAGTGTCCAGTTCTCCACCCACCATACACACATACATATGCATGCGCACATGCATGTGTGCTCCAGAAGGCAGGTGGGTTGTTGCCATGGCATTCATAGCTCCTATAACAGTGCCTGGCTCACAGCAATTCACAGGAACAATTTGCTGGTGAATAAAGACTGAGTGGGTGTAGATCAAACACACTGGCTGGAGGTGGGGGAAGGGCAGAGAGGGCTTCATGAAGTTTGTACCTCACCTGACAGTCTCCTAAGCACGTCCACAATCACTCTCCTTGATCCTCTCAACCACCAGTGCATGGGTCACACAGACAGGTATCCCTCATTTTCAGGGACATAAAATGCTGGGTGAACCACAGAATATACTGATTCCATGAGTCTGGACTGGATTTTGCCCAGGAGGTAGTGAGGGATAATAATGGAATTACCATTAGGGTCTTCCCTGTCTCGGTTCCTATAGTCCACTGGAATCACCAAAAGGGACAAAACCTACTCCTGATGTACCTCTTGCCTATTCCTGCTCAGCAACACCACCATCCTACCTACTCCCCATTCCCACTACCACTTACATACACACACACACACACACACACACACACACACACACACACACACACACTTACAGCAAAAAAACGTTCACCAGGATTTAAGGATGAGGATCATGTTGGTCCATCTCACTTCTTACTTCAGCTAGTGCCCCAACTCAGCATATTTGGTATCCAGGAAAATACTTCGCTTTCTTCCTCAAAGAGGGAAACTGAGATCAAAGAAAGGAAACAGAAATAGAGCTCACATGGAAAAACTGAACATTAGCAGAAGTTTCAGGATTTCTCTAGAAACAATGCAGTGTGCTAGAAGTCTATGAACCCAGACAGGTTCAATGTCAAGTTCTACCACTTTAGGCTATGCGATCTTAAGCAAGCCACTTAACCTGTTTCAACGGACCCATCTTCCTAAAAACACTTTGTGATAAAGCTCACTAATCCATATTAACCAGGAGTATAATCTAGACTGCTGAAAAGCCTAAAATATGGAATATCCCTAATGGGACTGCCATTACAATAATGTGTTAATAATAGCTAATGTGTCGGGCTCCCGGCATGGAGCCTGTTTCTCCCTCTGCCTGTGTCTCTGCCTCTCTCTCTCTCTATGTCTATCATAAATAAATAGATCTTTAAAAAAAATAGCTAATGTTATTAAGTACTTAACATGTGTTAATTGTACTAAGAGCTTTTTTGTTTTTAAAGATTTTATTTATTTATTTATTCACAGAGAGAGAGACAGAGAGAGAGAGAGGCAGAGACACAGGCAGAGGAAGAAGCAGGCTCTGTGCAGGGGGCCCAACGTGGGACTCAATCCCGGGACTCCAGGATCATGCCCTGGACTGAAGGCGGTGCTAAACCACTGAGCCACCCAGGCTGCCCTGTACTAAGAGCTTTATAAGCATGAATAATACATTTATAGAAACTTAATTGTGTCAAGTGCTGTGGGAAGGATCATTAGTATTATCCCTGATATATAGATGAGGAAACTGAAGCCAGAGAGATTAAGTATCTGGCCAAAGACTAACGGTCTAATAAATGGGAAAAACACCAAAGCTCCTGCTCATGGCCACCAGGCTACATGGTCTCCTACATGTTTGGTAACTAAGGGGACTGTGTGAAAAGAACAATTAAAGGCAGACCATTTTTGTGTGGATAGATGAATGTTTCTTTTTTTTTTTTTTTTTGATGAATGTTTCAAAAGTGCTTGCCATGTGTTCCTTTGAATGAGATGGCCATGTTTTTCAAAATTCTGTTTCATTGTAAAAGGAGGGGAAGAGAAGCTTCCTATGATAGGCTTAGAACAGCAGCAGTAACTGTTCACTGACTGACTAATGTGACTCAGTGGAAAGGGCTTGAGCACCTCGGTTCAATCATACTAATCAGCCATGTGACTTTGAAGACTTCATGACCTCTTCTGTGAAACGAGTAACCACCCTGCCTCGGACTCACTGTGAGAAACGAGACAAGGTCTTCCCATTCTGGGTAATTCAGTCACCCTCAGTCACCAAGTTATGTATGTCACAAGAGTTAGCAAGAAAACGTTCTTGGTAGAAGGTTATATTTTTTAAGGTACATTTTTAGAAAACTTGTTTGCTTTTATCACTGTTGATAGTGACATCTGATAATTCAAATAGTGGCATCTGATGATTCAGATGTCAACCTCAGCCCAGCACAGGCCAAGTTATCACTATTCTGAATTATCCAAATAGGAATTTATGAAGATTTACTGAACTCAAGTCTTTGGAATGGAGTAAGGACCTTGTCTCTAATCAAGATCACTGTATGTGTTCAGTTCAAGGATGTCCCCAACTATGAACATTTTCATGGTAAGGAGTACTGAGTGGACAGGGGACTGAAGCAGGAACCAGGGCACCCAGGTTCTGATCCCATCATTTGCTGTGTGTTCTTAGCAAATCATTCCTACTCTCTGGACCTTAGTTTCCTCCTCTGCAATTGAAGAACATGGAAGAAATGATCCCTGGCATCCTCTGCAACCTTCAAATTCTTTAACTTTTGTACTCAAGAAGACCTTAGAGGGTAGCCTGGGTGGCTCAGCAGTTTGGTGCCACCTTCAGCCCAGGGCATGATCCTAGAGACCCAGGATCAAGTCCCACATAGGGTTCCCTTGCATGGAGCCTGCTTCTCCCTCTGCCTGTGTCTCTGCCCCCCACCCCCCCTCTCTCTCTCTCATTCTGTTTCTCATGGATAAATAAATAAAATCTTTTTTAAAAAAAAAAAAAGAAGAAGACCTTAGAAATGAGATGGGATCCCAACAGTTACTGAATTTCTTCCTCTGTAAAATGGGAAAAATGAGAAGAATAGTAAATGAGTTGACAACTGTAAAACCTTTAGAATAGTGCCTGGCCCCACAGGGTGAGTGTTCTCACCTTCTTTGGAGGCTATATATGTCAGAGAACCCTCCTCTTCCCAAACACCTTTCCATGGATGAGAGGGAAAATACGGATCTGTAATGCATGAGCAAGAACTTTGAAAGCAACCAAATAAACACCTAGTAATTTCTAATCCATCCTAACTGCCCCTCACTATCCCCAGGGAAGCTGCATGTTGACCTCTGATGAGGACCCCTGCCCTAAAAGCAGCAGCTGAAGATGCCAGCAGAGGGAGAGGTTTTCCACCACCACTGCCAATATTAGTTCTTCTGGAGGGCAAAGAGGAACTGATGAGCTCACTCTGGATCAGAGGCAGTGAGAAGGAGAGAGTGAATGAGACTCATTTCTGGAAGCTATTTCAGTTTTCTTTTCCATTTTGTGCAATTTCACTTATGCTATCATGCAATATGTGGCTGCTGTTTTGGAAACTCCCCTTGGGGGGGCACCCCCTCTACTGGCCTGACTCTATAAAGGGCCAGCCTGAGCTGCAGAAGATCCCTTCAGAGGATCCTGAGACAGCAGGTGGCTCTCCATCAGCAGGTACCATGAAGGTCTCCGCAGCTACCTTTGCAGTCCTCCTTGCCACTGCTACCTTCTGTGCTCCTGCCTCTGCCTCCCCATGTAAGTCAGGTCCTGATCACTGCAGCCTGGGGCCAGACCCTCATACTGGCCCAGACTTTGTCCTCCTTTCAACTGCAGCATTTAGGCTTCTTGAACCCGATGCTTTATATTCCTATATATATTGCTATATATTGCTTTACCCAGATGTCCAGATGTCCAGCTGTCCCTGAGAGATCTTTAAGCCACTCCATGGCAGGGACCCTCTGCTTAACTTTTCTGTCTTCAAGATCTATACCAAGCCCTTCAGGAGCTGAGCGCGGACTGATGCTGGGGATATTAGCAGGCAGAGGCAGCTTGAACTGACCTCAAAACCCTATCACCAGGAGGGTTTCTCAGAGACTCCTAAGCTTGGATTAGTCATATTCTCCCTGTTTCATAGATGGAAAAAGTGGGCCCTGAGAGAGGATTTTTTTAATTTTATTTTTTTTAAGATTTGAGAGAGAATAGAGGGGAGGGGTTGAGGGAGAAGGAAAGAGAGAATCTCCAGCAGACTCTCACTGAGCAAGGAGCACTGATGCAGGGCTCGATCCCACCACCCTGAGATCATGACCTGAGCTGAAATCAAGAGTGGGATGCTTAAACAACTGTGCCACCCAGAGGATTTTTTTAAAACCTAGTATGGACCATGTATTATGCTGACTGCTCTGCATGTACCATGTCATTTAATACTTGCCATGAGTGGCTGAGCTTGACTGAAAGACGGAGAAACAGGGCAGCCCTGGTGGCGCAGCGGTTTGGCGCTGCCTGCAGCCTGGGTTGTGATCCTGGAGACCCGGGATCAAGTCCCACATCGGGCTCCCTGCATGGAGCCTGCTTCTCCCTCTCCCTGTGTCTCTGCCTCTCTCCCTCTGTGTCTATGAATAAATAAATAAAATCTTTAAAAAAGAAAGAAAGAAAGAAAGAAAGAAAGAAAGAAAGAAAGAAAGAAAGAAAGAGAAACAGAGGCCCAGGGGAGTTAAGTAACTTGCCTAAGGTCACATAGCTAGGAAATAGGGAAACTGGTGTTCAAACTCAGTACTATCTGGCTCCTAAACACTCCTACTTTACTGGGAAGTAGCAACTGACACCTTCCAGGGTCATCCTGAATTAACTGACCAATAGAAAGCTCTCCTTCCCGGGGGATCCCTGGGTGGCTCAGCGGTTTAGCCCCTGCCTTCAGCCCAGGGCGTGATCCTGGAGTCCCAGGATCGAGTCCCACATCGGGCTCCCATGCATGGGGCCTGCTTCTCCCTCTGCCTGTGTCTCTGCCTCTCTGCTCTCTCTCTCTCTCTCTCTCTCTCTCTCTCTCTCAAGAATAAATAAATAAAATCTTTATTAAAAAAAAAAAAAAAAAAAAAAAAAGAAAGCTCTCCTTCCCTGTTTGGAGGTCTTCTTACCATGCCTCAGCCAGAGACTCCCAGGACACAATACACATCTTCAGGCCCCTCTTAGGGGTTGAGGCTGAGCCATGAAGACTGAATTTTGGAAGCCTCCCCCCAACCCACCGTAGGTCTCAAAGAAACTAAGTTCTGAATCCACTGAGGATCACAAGAGGGCAAGAATAAGGGCAAAGAGCCCAGACAAGCCAGGAGGAAGCCCATGATATCCATAGAACCAAAGGCAGAGGATTAGGGTGTAGAGGGAAGGATACCTGCAAGGCTCAAGGATTAGATAGAAGATTGTGGAAATCTTCTCCATCCTCTGTTGGAATCACCCACTCTGCTACTGTGTATACACATCCAAGTGACTTTACTTCTCGGAGCCTCAGTTTCAGCCAAAGAAGGATAACAGTCTATCCAAGATAATGTACCCAGCACAATACCCCATGTATAATGGCAATGAGTACAGGAGTCTACTGCTTTCTCCTCCTAGATGCCTCAGACACCACACCCTGCTGCTTTGCCTACATTTCCGGCCGACTACCCTTCACCCACATCCAGGAGTATTTCTACACCAGCAGCAAGTGCTCCATGCCAGCAGTCGTGTGAGTCCCAGCCCTGTGAACCCTCGGGGGGGGGGGGGTCAGGGGGGATGAGGAAGGGACACCTTTTGTTCCAGAGCCAGTCCCCCACAGGAGCCCTCTAAGAGCCTGCCCTATCCACTCCCACCCATCTTCCAGCTGCTCAAATAGCCAGAGTTCCTCCATCTGTAGCTTCAGATCCCCCCCGCCCAACCTTTGTGTAGAAGGATTAGGCAGGGGTTCCTGGGGGATCCTTCCCCACTCTGATGGAGTGGGTCAGGTCTCTGATCTTTATGGGTGTACCTACAATGTCCCTGCATGGAGACAAGATCGACATAGCCATCTCTCTCGAAATAAGAATCCCATGTTCTCCCATATGCCACACCCAATCAAATCTACCTGCAACCTCAGAGGATCTAAGAAGGAGCAGTCAGAGGTCAGAGAGCCCTAGTTACAGTCAAATGTACTTTAAAAAAAAAATATCAACTGGTGAAGAAATAATGACATGAGATTCTCCTTTAAATATGCAAACTAACACCTGAAAAATTAACAGTCCTTACTACCTACAAGTGTGTATCAAATGCCTTACATGGATTATCTCCAAATTTCATCACAACAACCCTGACAGGTATGTATAATTCTCTGCATGTTTCAGATAATGAATCTGAAACCTAGAGGTTTGGAAACTTGCCCAAAGTTGCACAGTAAGTGAAGGATAGAGCCTGTCTTTAGAGTCTCCTCTTTCTACTACGGACAGCTCAACAGTGACAGTTGCTTAAGAAGTTTAAGCTAATAGAGACTTAAAGAATGAAAAGGGGGTAATCGTGAAGTTTCCTCTATAAAGTGAAGTTTTTTTAATCCAAAAATTCCTGTGACACTTGCAAAGCCATATGCATTCAAGAATTGCCTTTTTTTCTGGCGAATCCTTCAAAGTGTCGTGGTAATATCTAGCACTACTAATTTTATCTCTGAAAACACATTTTTCAAAAGAAAAAAACGATCCTTTGAGCACCTGTTATGGGCAGGTGGAGATGAAAAAAACACTATCCCTGCCCTCATGGGACTCACAGTCTAATACAAGGCAGTGAGATACAGAATGATTAGAGCAGTCCTGTGTAAAAAACAGTACAGAAGGGCAGCCCCCGTGGCACAGCGGTTTAGCGCCGCCTGCAGCCTGGGGTGTGATCCTGGAGACCAGGGATTGAGTCCCACATCAAGCTCCCTGCATGGAGCCTGCTTCTCCCTCTGCCTGTGTCTCTGCCTCTCTGTGTGTGTGTGTGTGTGTGTGTGTGTGTGTGTGTGTGTGTGTATGAATAAATAAATAAAATCTTTTTTAAAATTTTTTTAAAAATAAAAAATAAAAACAGAAGGAGGGAGGGAGCACATTCAGCCCCGGGGGTTAGTGGATGTTTGCTGCAAAAGGTGCTTGAGAAAAGCCTGAGGGACAAGGTATGTTAGGCAGACTGAGTGTCGCCTGGACGCTCTTTTGGTTGATGCAGCACCCTATGTAGAAAAGCAGTGGTGGGCACTTGAGCATCAGCACAAGGACTCAAAACTGTTAGAGCAAGTGAAGTGAATGGGCACAGAGAAAGCCTAGAGAGCCAGGCCCAGTGAAGTGGCTGTTATGGTTACCCATGTGAGTAGTATTAAGGCTAAACAGGACCTGCAGGAAAGTAGAGGGTTGGAAACTGTCACGTATGGAGTCGGCAAGTCCTGGCAGGTGAGAGGAGGTCAGGAGCAAGGACAAGAAGGGAGCTAAGTGACCTTGAGGTTTCTAGCCAGAGGGCTAAGTGACCCTGAGGCTGGAGAAGTGTGGCACTCCCCGAAGTCTCAAGGAAAAACTGTTTAAAGAGGATAAAGCTAAGATGCCAGCACGACAACCCTGTGGCAATGTCCAGCAGGGGTTGGTAGCCAGGAAACAGTGTTGGGCATAGAGATAAGACATTCTTTTGTAGGAAGAAAGGGTCTCCTGAGAGGAGAATAGCAATCTTTAGCAGAGTCTTGGTAAGCGCTGGCTCGAGTGCTCAGCAAGTCAGGCTTCATTAGAATCCCAGCTCTGCCAGTTGGGCAGTTGCAGGAGCCTGGACCCATGAGTTAACGTCTCTGAGCCTCCATTTCTTCAGCTGCAAAGTGGAGTGAAATAGAAGTACTTGCCTCACTGGGTCAAAGGGAGAATAATGAGATGAAAAACAAAATTGGAATAGGTCCTGGCACACAGTTGGTACCTGATAAGTGTTCACTTCTCCTCCTCCTTCTCCAAAGGTAATATTATATACATAGAAGTGACAAAATTTGATGAGTGCAATTCATTCATGACCTCATGCTATAAACATGCATTAAGCCCCCTCAGTGTGCCACACCTAGGGCCAGAAACTAGGGAGAAAAACACAGAAAGGGGCAGCAATTCTGAGAAACACCTGCACTCAAGGGGCAGGGGAAGTGGTTGCTCCGGAAAGAACAAGCAGGAAGAGAGAGGCAGGAGGGAAGTCAGGCAAGGAGGGGGTCCCCAAAATGGGGGCAGAGAGAGAAGCTTAGCCAGGGAGGTTGTTCCCCAGTCTCACATTCTTCAGGAGGAAATAGAGGCCTGAGAAACCCTCACCCCATATATTCGTTTCCTGCCCTTTTGATTTCCTGGCCACAGACGGAAGGGGCCAAGAAGAGAGGATAACAAGTCTGTAGGATTTCCTGTCTGACGTGGCTGAACCAGGGCAGGGTCATTGTCTGAAGTTCCCTTACTACCCCAAATAAACAAACACTAGGAGACATGAGAGCCCAGAATATTCCATCTGCTCCCTTTCTCTCTTCTGCACATTGTAATAGAAGAGAGAGTGTCAAGTGGCTCTGAGTCTCAGAAAAGGGGAAGCAGCTTCCTCAAGAGCAAACACTATCCAGCATAGAACCCAAAAAGAAACCAAGAAATCCTCATCCTCGCCAGACGACCTAAGCTTCACTTTGAAAATATTTGAGCTCATAAGGTGCAGAAAAACATCCTAAAGAAGCCAAAAGGAGAAAGGTCCAAGTAGACAGGGCTGGCCCAAAAGTAAGATGTGAACTGCGGGCACTGGTCTCCAGTCCACAGTCTCCCCCAGATGGAATCAGTCTCCCAGCCAACAGGTGAGGTATGCAGCTGGACTAAGCCTGTGCCCCACAGGCTTTTATACATCCAATGTATGCCATCAACTCCTGTAGAGATAAGGCCCTTCCCTCCCAGTGGCCTCCACATTCTAGCTGGTTAATTGGTAGAAGTGCTTTGACACCGGGAGTACCTCAGGGCTTTTACCCTCTCTGAGCATGGATGTCCAGTACCAGGACCTTTGGGGTCATCTTGCTCTGATCCCTCCTAAAGAAGAGGTCCCATAACATTCTAATGACAAACCACATGCGGTGTTTTCCAAAACTCCACAATTCCATCTCATTTGAGTCTCACAACAACAGTGCAAAATAGGAAGTATTTCTATTTGTATTTTAGAGGTAAACAAATAGATTCAGAGGCCCTAGGTGACTTGCCAAGGTGAATCCACTAATAAGTGATGAAATCAAGACTCGGGGTCATGTCCTTCTATCATTCGCCCACACACACATAGATGTGGTTCGTTTGTTGAGTGTCTACCCTTTGCCAGGCACTGTGTTAACTGAAGGCAAATCTCATGTTTGTTGTACCACTTCTTCTCTTTCACCTACTCAACCATAACTCAGTTCCTAGAAGACCCCTGTTTTTTTTCTGCATCTTGGCACTTGTTACTAGGTCTAAAACCGGAAGTGCTGAGAAAAAACTAGTGATTGACCAGCTCAATCCTAGACTCCTGAGCTCCATATGCCCTTAGCTCTCCAGGTTGCACACATATTTCTGTGGGGGTTAATATGCACACAGATCTGCTTCTGGCTTGGAGCCCTACGATTCAACAGAAGAGGAAATATCTTTCCTTAAAAGCTACAAATCCAACTTTGTTGGCTCCAAGCCAACAGCTCCAAGAATCCTCCATTCCAGTACTATCATCATCATCATCCCCTTGTGCCTCAGTTCACCTCATCTCCAAAAATGGCTGTCCAGGTGCTGACCAGATCTCATCCTGTCTTCTTCTTCCACAGCTTTGTCACCCGAAAGCACCGCCAGGTGTGTGCCAACCCACAGAAGAAATGGGTGCGGGAGTACATCAACTCTTTGGAGATGAGTTAGGATGTAGGGCATCTGGAAGCTGAACTCATGCAAACTTTCCTACTGCTTCTTGCTCTTGTCCTATGCAGCTTGGGAGACCCTCACCAACCCCTACTCCCACCCTTTCCTGGGAGGGCACAGATGCCACCACCCAGTAGCAGTTATAAAAGTAGCAGCAGTTATAAATAAAAGCCTCCTCCATCTAAAGTTTGCAAGAGCTCCGGAGGCTCTGCTTTGTGCACAGAAGGTCTCTAGGCTCCTGAGGATCACGCCTCTCAGCTTGACCCCAGCTCTGCAGTCAGGAAGGAGATCAACAAGCCTCCAGAGACGAAGATGGGAAGAAGACTGGGCTCCTTCGGCAATGTCCCGTGGCCACAGCTATCCTCTCAGCCCCTCACTGGGAAGGGCTGACTGGTAAATGTGAGAAAGCAGCTTTCCATTAAAATTCTCGCTGCAGTCACCAAGCTGGCTCCTGGTTTGATTTTCTCCTCAGGAAACTTCCTTCCTTATGAGCATTAAGCGATTAACCCATATTGAATTTAACTGACATGTATTTTTAATGCTTTAACAGACTTTTTAGTGTGTGTCTTCAAGTATTTTTTTAGGAGTTCAGATCAAATCTTTGCAGAATGTTTTCTAGTTTGGATTTGCCTGGTTGTTTCCCATAATTAGATTCAGGTTAAGCATTTCTGGCAGGGACACATGAGAGACACTGGGTTTCTCAGGGCAGCACATCAGAGCACATCGGTTCACTGCTGGTGATGTTGAGTCTGATGGCCCGAAGGCCCATGTTTTTTTGCCACAGTGGGCTCCCCACTGTGTGCCAGGCACTATGCTAGGTATGGGAGGCTGGTGGGGAAAAAAGAGAGACGAATGAGCCACGAGCCACCGTCTTTAAACTTTAGGCCAACTAAACATATGATAAACACCTAAAAGGAAGCAACTATTCAAAAGGCTGTGGTCAAGCTGGGGGTGGAAGATGGGGGAGGTGGGAATGTCACCACTGAAGGAGGTACCTGGGGGAGAAAGATGTGAGAGATGAGATAACATTTAAATGAAGCTTGAGGGGTACCTGGGTGGCTCAGTCAGTTAAGCTTCTGCTTTCGGCTCAGGTCATGATCCCGGAGTCCTGGGATCAAGTTCTGCATCAGATTCCCTGCAGGGAGTCTGCTTCTCCCATTCCCTCTGCCCCTCCCCCAAGAGGGTTGTGCTCCCTCTTGCTCACTCTCGCTCAAATAATAAAATCTTTAAAAAACAAAATTGGAGAAACAGTTTAGCAGATAGGAAAAGAAAGGCCTGTCAGGTAAAGGGAACAGCATAGGCAAAAGTAGGAGGTATAGCAAGCAGTTCTCCGAACAGAGAAGAGCTCAGTTTCTGCTGCCAAGGAAGGAGATACGTGTATAAAAAGGGCTTTCCCGCTCCTGACATTTTCCTGATAACTAGTCCTAAAAACCACCTCTGCCCCTCCCATGGGCTGATGTGTTCTTGACAGTTCACCAAATGCTTTGACTTTCTTTCCCATGTATGACTCAACACAGCCACTCTAGCTCCCAGATAGGCATGAACTTCCCACTTTTCACTTGAGGAAACTGAAGCTCCCAGAGGTCAAGTGACTAGCTCAAGGCCACGGGCAAGTAGACACCAGGAGTGGGGGCTGGGGGAGGGGCAGGGCTTGAGAATAGAACTGGAGTCTTCCATTTACCTAGGAGATCTGGTTACTCAACACTTGAGTGTTCTACCCACAGAAGCCCCAGCCCCTCACCAGTCTCTCTTGTGCCACAGAGGATAGGTCTCCCCCAGCTGTGCCCCAACACTCCCAACAGCCTTGAATTGTTCTGTCTGGGTTCCCTCTGGCCCTGCGAGGAGAAGAGGGTGGATGGCCTACAAAAAATCAGCTGATATTTTTGACATCTCCAGGTCGATGTTCAAGTACCCATGGCTGGAATATCCAGAGAGGACCAAAGGTAAGGCTGGAATAGACAGAAACAGAGTCGGGGATGGGGCCTGAAAAGAAAAGCTCCCTCCCCCAGACAGGGGTCTGGTGAGTTCAGGGCAGGGCAGGGCACTGGACACTTTGATGGCTCCCCACAGCCTTCAAGGTGAGTCTCTAGGACTCTCAAAGATGAGACTTTTAAGATTTTATTTATTCATGAGAGAGAGTGAGAGGCAGAGAGAGAAGCAGGCTCCATGCAGGGAGTCGAATGTGGGACTCGATCCAGGGACTCCAGGATCACGCCGTGGGCCAAAAGCAGGTGCTCAACCGCTGAGCCACCCAGGAGTCCCTAGAAGATGGGACATTCTGTGTGTCCCCCCAGCTTCTGCTCCCACATCTGTACCCTGCTTTCTACCCAACTCCCCAACTCCCTGTCTTTGAAAGAAGTTGTTCCCCGTGCCTAATGCTCTTCCCCCTTATCTATCTGGCTAACCCCTACATGGATTAAAGACTGAGCCTGTGTATGATCACCTCTGGGAAACCTTCCCTGGTCCTCCCAGCCAGATTAGGGGGGCCCTCATCTGTACCACTTGTGCCTGTATCTTCACATTTGTCTCCATTTGTTAATCACTAGTAAACAGCTCTGTCTCACCAGCTAGATCAGTGGTTCTCAAAGTGTGGTCCCAAGACAAACAGCATCAGTATCTTGTTAGAAATGCAAATTCCCAGACCCCGACCCCAGATGTCCATACTCAGGAGAAATGCCAGAAATCGGTTTTAACAAGCTCTCCAGGTGATTCTACAGCACACTCAAGTTTGAGAATCACTGAATGAGACAGCTGGTTTTCAGCATCAGCTGCACATTAGAATCCTCTGGGGAGCTTTCTGTCTAGGCCCTATCCCCAGAGAATCAGACCCAATGCGTCTGATGTAGGCCCAAGGATCCCCAAATAATTCTAATATGCAATGTTCACTAAACGCTCAATCAATGAATGCCCAAATGGATAATTCTTAGCCCATCATTTATACCACAGAATTCAGAAAAGCCATGGCTCCTGTTCATCTGCCCTTGTCCTGCTACCAGGTAAGACCCCCTAACTTTAGCCATCCTGGGAGCTTTGTTGAAGTTGGAGGGGCGGTAGACTGTCTTGTTCCTTTAAGGCTGGTTCACAGAACCCTTACACTCACCCCTGGGGCTGCCACTAACTCTGTGTGATCTTGGACAAGTCGTTTCCCCTCCCTAAACCTCAGGAGCTTCCTCTGACACAGGCCAACCCGTCTCACTTCATTTGTGGAGTTGCTATGAGATACTATCTATAAGGCCTAGGCTACATAGGCAGTGCTTAACAATGAGTCATTTTTATTCATCAATGCAGGGATCCTCATAGAGATGCCAGATAGAATACAGGATGCTGGGCAGCCCAGGTGGCTCAGAGGTTTAGCGCTGCCTTCGGCCCAGGGCATGATCCTGGAGACCTGGGATGGAGTCCCACTTCAGGCTCCCTGCATGGAGCCTGCTTCTCCTTCTGCCTGTGTCTCTGCCTCTCTCTCTGTGGCCCCTCTTCCTTGTTGCTCAGAGAATTGACTCTGACAAAGGCTGGAGAAGAGATAGGAATGAATCCTAGCCAAATCAGCAGAGAAAGCCCCTGACCCACCCACAACCCTCTACTACAATCAGAGCTGTAGTTTCATGACCGTTTAAGAGAGAGATTGTTAAAGGAGATTCTGTTTTTCCAACTAAATTGTTAAGTTCCATCAAGGCAGAGATGATAACTGCCTCCTCAGCACCTAGCACAGTGCTCGGCACTCAGCTGGTGCTCGGTGAGTATCTGTTGCATGCCTAAATGAACGAACATCTCCCTCACCCCCTGCCTTTTCATCTCCTTGCCCTAGCCCAGATGGCCTTTTCAAAATGCTTTGAGATCCTCAAATAACCAAACTGTCTACTCAGATTGGTTTACAGATCAACAAGAGCTTCACAATCTTTACCTCATTTATTCTTTGCAACAATGAGGAGTACAGAAAGAATAAGGATTATTACCTCCATTCTGCAGATGAGAAGACTGAGATCTTGATGGGTGAAGTCACTTGCTCAAGTCACACTATGGATAGGGTCTCGGACTCTAGGTCAGATGAGACTGGTGTCTCTCTCACCTAGTCTCTTCTTATCCTGGTCCTTTTCCTGGTCGAGGAATATCCCTCATCACTGCTGTGCTATTCACATCCCCCAGATGCCAAAGGAAGAGTTTCCCCAAGCCCAGAGTGCTGGAGGCAGCACCCAAGCAAGCCACATTCAGTGCCTCACTGCTACTTCAAGAAGCCTGAGATCTACACACACTGGCACATTCTATACGATCAGCGACAAGAACGGGAGGCCCAGAAAATGTTGTGGAAAATGAGAGATCACCCTAGGTGTGCTTTGCCCCTCCCTGTTCTCCACACTTTCTAGGAAAGAGAGGAAGAAGAAAGGAGTGGGATAGAGTGGGGCAAGTCCAGCTTACAGATCCCAGAGAGGAGCCTGGGGTAGGAGGAGGCTCATCTGTCTTCCACTGGTCCCATCTCTGAGCTGGGCTAAGGACCAAGGGGCAGAGGAGTTTGTGAAGTGGGAGGGAGGGAACAAGGGGACCAAGGCTGACTGTGCAATTTCTCATACAGGCAACTCAAAGAGGACACACCTATCCAAAAATTCCATCTCCCTATGAGCAAGTTAACTATAAAATCTCAGATGGGATCCAAGCCCTCAGACCCTACTGGGGACCCCCTGAAGTGGCAAAGATTAAAGGTTAGGGACCACGGTGGGAGGGAGAATGGAGAGACTCCCTTTCTGTGGGTGCCCTTACCTTGGGCTCACATTATCCTTCAGCCTTCAGTCCCTGCCAACAAAATGGAGGTGGGAAAGGAAAAGGAATTAGATGAGCTCCTTTCCATTTGAAGTTCTACAACCCTATTAATCCCTTTCTTCCTTTCCATTGGCTCCCTTGGATGGGCAGGATCTCACAAAAAGCCTGGAATCTCCCAAAGAGCATGAGCAGTTCTATGCAGCACAGGTGAGAGGTGGCAAGCATGGTGGAGCATGGTCTCAGGTAGAATTTGGCTGAGCTGGGGAGTAGAAAGATGCTTGGGGTGTGGCATTCCAAGTCAAAACTCCAGCTGTGTCCAGAGGCTGTAACTCACAGGGTGGTGTCTGAGCCCTCTTCCCTTTCTTCCACCCCTGTTCCTACAGGCTCTGGGGTGTCTGGGCGTCAATGACAAGTTTATCATGGAGGCACTGTGGCAGGTGGTGAGTTTGGGGCTGCATGGAGCTCACGAGAGGAGGAAACAGGGTCTGAGGTATGAGAACATAGGCACACAAGGCTCGCCAGGATATTAAGGACGCTGGGTCAGATACAGTGAGGAGAGAGCTGCCAGTGTGTGGTGTGCAACACCTCATGCCTTTGGCTTCCTTGAAGGGCAGCTTGATGGGGATGGGGGAATCTGTGTAACAGAAAAGACCCTCAACTGAAAAGCCAGAAAAGAACTGAGACTGAGTTCATTCTCTATCATAACCAAAACAAAGCCCCATGCTTATATGCCAATTTATAATGGGGAACATGCTTTCCTATCCATGTTCTCATTTAAGTCTTACAAACTAGGAATAGGCAGTAGTATCTGCATGTTTCTACTGAAGCTCTGAGAATGAGCCAAGTGACTTGCCCAAGACCACATGGTTACTAGATACCAGATAAGGATTTGAACAAATGTCTTATTCCCAAGTTAGGTTCCTTCCATTGCACCATTCTGCCTGTATTTTGTGCTTGAGCATAGACAGGTCATTCCCTAGGCCTCGGTTTCCTCACTTGTAAATGAAAACTTAAGCTGAGAGGACCCTTAAGAGCCCTGACATCTCATCACCTTATGGCATATCTCTACCTCCTGCCTCTTAAATCAGGCCCAAACTGGTCCAGAGAAAGTGAAGTATGAGGCCTGTCGAAGCCTGGCCATGCTGGGTGAGTATGTCCTCTCCCTGGGAGGGGAGTGAGAAAGATGAGAAAGGATCCAGTGTGGCCCCTTTCCTCTTTGGGTAAGGACACCCACTTCTACCTATCATTTGGCAGGATCTGGGAGCTAGCCTAGGTACTGTGGACAAGAGAAGAAAGTGGGGTGAAAAGGGAGAAGAGATTGGAAGGGAGGGAGCGGGTCCCTGGAACTACAGCCATGCTCAGCCAGCCGCACCAGTGTCCTGGGAGGATGGGTAACACTTTGAGACCTAGTACTTAGAACTTCTGTCTTGAAGGCACAGTGGAGTCAAATGGATCCTGGCAGAGAGGAACAGTCCCTGAGCTCTGCCCTGATCTGAGGACCCTCCCTGTCTAGGTTGCCTGAATAAGCACGTGATCCAGGTTCTCATTAAACAGTTGAAGGGGCAAAATGAGGAGCAAAGGATGGATTCTCTGACAGGGCTACGAGCGGCTTTAAACACCTGGGCTTCTGTCCCCAAAGACAAGGTGATTTGAGAGGAGAGTCTGTAACTGGCAGGTAGGACAAGGTAATTGACGGTGCTGGCTGGCGTTAGGTCAGGGAGAAGGTAACCCAGCTCCTAGCCTTGATGAGAGAAGACTCTGTCCTTGTGGAATTCCCTGAACAGAGGCACTGACATAGCCACTTCGTAGTCATACAACCAGTGAAAAGCCATCTTTCAGAGCCATAGTTAGTTCATTTCCAAAATGGAGATGGTAACATCATGATGAGCACTGAGTCGTGTACAGAACTGCTAAATCACTAAACTGAAACTAATACAACATTGTATGTTAACTATACTAACACTGTATGTTAACTATATTTCAATAAAAATTCATTAACATATTAAACAAATGAATAAAATGGATAGTAATTATAGCATTGTTGAGAAGACTAAATGAGATAACGTATATAAAGCACCTAGTTCAATGCCTGTGCTTTTTAAATGGTAACCATTATCATCCCTAAAATAACCTACTAAAGAAAAAACTTCTCTCAAGAGGGGAAAGGGATTGAGAGAGTCTACAACACTACTCAAATTTTTACCCTTTTAGGATCCTCTCAGGCAGGTGCTCAACCGCTGAGCCACATCTCTCCTCTGTGTGAAATAGAAGTTACCATTCATCCATTTACTCAACAAATATATGTTAAACAGCTATCACATGCCAGGCTCTGTCCCAGGTCCTTAAGATACATCAGTGAACCCAACAGACTAAGATCCCCTGCTTTTGTGGAGCTTACCTTCTAGTTGGGGAGTCACATAGTAACCAGTAAACTTAATTGTATAGTATGTTAGAGATGACAAGTGTAGTGGAAAAATTAGGTAGCAGGGTGAGGGTGATTAGGAATGCCAAGTGAGGATGGGAATAGGTTAGTTTTAAACACAGAAGGGGGACACCTGGGTGGCTCAGCAGTTGAGCACCTGCCTTCAGCTCAGGGTGTGATCCCAGGATCCAGGATTGAGTCCCACATCAGGCTCCCTGTGGAGGGCCTGCTTCTCCCTCTGCCTATGTCTCTGTCTCTCTCTGTATGTCTCTCATGAATAAATAAATCAATCCTTAAAAAAAATAAATACAGAAGGGAGGAAGGCTTCACTTAGAAGGTGTCATTTGAGCGAAGACATGAAGAAGGTAAAAGTGTTAGTCCTGCAGGTATCTGAAAGAAGGCATTCCCAGTAGAAGGGCCAATCAGTGCAAAGGCTCTAAGGCAGGAGTGTGCTTGGTTGGCATGGTCAATGGACAGCAAGGAGGCCAGTGTGGCTGCAGTGGAGTGGAAATAGAAAAAGTAGTAGAAAATGAAAGTAGGTCAAAGGAGTTAACAGGAGACTCAGTTATACTAAATCCAGATTGACTAGATCTAGTAGAGTAGACCACACTCCATCAGCACTTTCTGGAGAACTTCAAGTACTTGGGCTTTTAGTCTGATGGAAGTAAGGAACAAAGCAGTGACATAATCTAACATATTTCAAAAGGTTCACTCTGTTGTACTGAGAAAAGATGGGTGGGGCACCAGGTGGAAGCAGAAAGACCAATTGGGGGCTACTAAATCAATCCTGGTGAGATATAAAGGTAGCACAGTGGTTGCAGTGGGATTAGTAAAACTGACAAGTTGAATGTGAGCTACAAAAGACAGTGAGAAAACAAGGATGAAGCCAAGGTCTTTTGGCCCAGCAGTTGAAAGGATGGAGTTGTTAGCATCTAAAATGGAGAAAGCTACGTGTGAAACAGGTTTGAAGGTAATATCAGAAATCCAGTTTTGGACAACTTGTATTTGAGATATCTATTGGACCTCCAAGGGAGACAGCAGGCAGAGTTGTATGTACAATTTGGAGTCTGAAGTCTAAACCAAAGAATTTATGAGTTGTTGGCATATAGACATTTTTTTTTAATTTTTATTTATGATAGTCACATATATAGAGAGAGAGAGGCAGAGACATAGGCAGAGGGAGAAGCAGGCTCCATGCACCGGGAGCCCAACGTGGGATTCGATCCCGGGTCTCCAGGATCGTGCCCCGGGCCAAAGGCAAGCGCTAAACCTCTGCGCCACCCAGGGATCCCTATAGACAACATTTAATGTCATTCAGTTAGATGAGATCACTAAGTACCAAGTATGAAGTCTTGGGGCATCCCAATTTTAAGAGGTCAGGGAGAAGAGGAAGAACCAGTAAATAATGACACCTGGCCAGTAGGTAGGAAGACACCCCAAGAGTGTGGTATTCTGAAAATCAAGTGAAGAAAATATATCAAGGAAAGGAAACAAATCAAACATATCAAATAAGGGCTGGGAATCGATACACAGATTAACAATGTAGAAATCCTTGATTATCTTAACAAGAACAGTTTTGGTGGGGTGGTGAAGAGTTTAGGAGTGAACGGCAAGAAAGAAATTAGAGATAGCAAGAATGGACAACTTCCCAAGTTTTGCTAGAAAGGCTACCACTGGCACCAGGGGTGGACTTTAGAAAAAAAGAAAAATAACAGCATATTTCTATGATCCAGTAGTGAAAATGATCATTTTGAAGAAAGAAGAGTTGTGATTAGGTGAGATGACAACACACAAGCAGAAAGATGGTCAGAGCCTGTAGCAGTAAGTGGAAGGAAAGAACATATGGGTACAGGTTGGAAGGTTGGATAGAAATGGTGGTAGGTGCCTCTGGAACTTCTTTTCCAGTTGCTATATATTTGCTCAGTAAAGTAGGAAGCAAGGTTTTCATCTGAGAGTTAAGAATGGAAGAAGTTTTGGAGGTTCCAGTGGACAAGGTATTAATCAAGAGGGTGGGAAAAAGAATTGCCATGGGAAAACTAGTATGGTTACTAGGGAGCACTGAAGAGTCCACACAAGGTTTGTGTTCACACATTGAAAGCAAGATCAGTCATCATGACTGTGTGCTTTTCTCCAGGAAGTGCAGGCACAGAGTAAGTGGAGAATTGACTACCATGAAGCAAGAGGAGGCAAAGGAGTTGAGTGAGGCAGGCTGACTCAAGTGACTACAGTAGGACCATGGAGTTTAAACTAGGTAGAGAGGGAAGAAAAAGAAGAGCAATGTAAAGGTGCTCAGGGGACATTATGTTAATCCATGTGGAGGATTAACACCGGAGGTAAGCTGGAAAGATAGGAGGTGATGGTCAGAGAGTGGGATCCACAAAATGGAGATCATGGAGATGTCACCAAAATGGATAATGATAAAAACCTCTCTGTGAGAAGTAATGGCTGACATAGAATGGAACAAGGACAAGATTATTGGAGAACAGGGGTAGGATCAATGACATATGTATTTTTAAAATGTCAGGAATTAAGACAGCAGAAGTGTTAAAGTGACACTCATCTAACCATGAGATGGATGAGTCCTAGAGAAATGAAGAGATAAGACCTAGAAGCAAGTAGAGGACAACAAGTATAAGGAGGAAGTGGGTAAAATCTGATGACATGAGATTCATTCTAGGGAGGAGGGACAATGCTCTGGGAGTAGCAGTGAATTGCCCTCTTAACAAAGCCTGGCTGAAGACATTAGTCCCCCTGCCCATTTCACTTCTTGTCTCCCTCAGAGGACTCAAGTCGGGGATGAAGAAAAGTTGGTACCTGTGCTGCAGATGCTGATAAATAAGTCATCGAATGAAGCAGCCGTGGAGGCAGCCCTGTGCTTGGGTTTCCTGCGGCCCTGCAGCAACACAGCCCAAGAGTACTTGCTGCAGTGCCTAAGCCAAGGATCAAAAACCCAGCAGATGAAGGTGTGAGGAGCAGGAGGCTGGGTTCTGGGGAGTACTGGGGAACCAGAGGGCATGCTGACTCTAGTACAGTCTGGACCCCGTCATACAGAACCAGAAAAATGGGAGCTTCGGCAGGGGGCACTGCAGGGTCCTCTGTGTGTCTGTCAATATGTGTGTGCATGAATATGGGGTCACATAGATATAAGTGTACATGTGTCTGTATATATTTGATTTGTATGAGTGCTCATTTATAACTGTGCATATCTGTGCACACATGAACTTATGCTCTCACTCAAAAGGCGAAGAGGTAGGAGAATGCACCCCATCTGTTCCCCATGAGTTTTAGGCTCAGTCCTCAAGCCTACCTGGCCATCCAGATGCCTCTTGCCCCTGTACAACTCACCCTACCCTGCCTGCCCCTCACAGGCACTTAGGATGCTGGTGAAGATGATGCATATAAACACAGCCACAGTCATCAGGGCCATCCTAGACCAGCTGTGCCATTCTAGTGTTCTGGAGGTAAGCTTTCAGACTGCCAAGGACCCTTCCTTCTCCAGCACTAGGACAGGCTGAGGGATAAGGAAGAGAGTCTACCCTTCATACCTCACCTCTGCCCTCAGCACCGCTTTGAAGCCACCCAGATGCTCAAGACCATTGGGCTGCAACAGATCCGGGCACAAGGGCTGGAGGGATCCACATTTGACCTGCTCTGGAGGAAGACGTATAATGAACCTTTCCTTGTGAGATCAACGTTCCCAAACCCAGGCAGCCCAAACCCGCCTCCTCTCCCGAGTTCTCTGAAGACCTCTCACCACACTGCCCCTCAAAGTTTCATATTGACTCTAAGGCACCAACACACTCCGTTCCTCTAACGCAGCCCACATTTTCAAGTCATCTTGCCTTTGCTCAGGCAGTTCTCTCAGTGAAAAATGCCGAGTCATCCCTTCCTCCTTCCCTTTGCAAGGTGAAAAACTGCCTCAAGCTATTATTCACTCTTCCTTCCTTCCACCTGTTACTTAAAGTAAGACTGCTCTGGCAAAGCCAGTCCAAACACCTCCAATGGGAAGCTTTTCCAAATCACCCCCAACACAAAGAACCCTGCCTTAATCTGTGTTCCTTTGCTTTCATCTTTATTGTAGCTTGTTACAGAACCAGCCACAGAACTTCTAAAGACAGTTTTCTAAAATGTAAAAGACTGTCTCTCATCTCCGCATAAAACTTTCAGTGGCTCCCCACTGCCCTCAGGAAGGTTTACCACTGCTATTCACCACCCAGGACCTGCTTACCTCTCTAGTTTCAACCCTCCACACTCCTGCTCAGAGCCACACACCAGCTATGCTTAAGAGGACTCCATCCTGGGACGCCTGGGTGGCTCAGCAGTTGAGTATCTGCTTTTGGCTCAGGGTGTAATCCTGGAGTCCCAAGATCAAGTCCCGCATTGGGCTCCCCAAGAGGAGCCTGCCTCTCCCTCTGCCTGGGTGTCTGCCTCTCTCTGTGTGGCTCTCATGAATAAATACATAGGAGGACTCTGTCCTCATTTATTCTTCGTATCCTGTATAATTCCTAAGTGCCCCACTTTGAAGAATCCTTGTAGTCACCTAGCTAAACTGAAATACTTTGTTCCCTAATCTGTGTTCTCTCTTGCCTCAAAGCTTCTGTACATGCCCTCCTCTCTGCCTTAAAAAAAAAAAAAAAAAAAAAAAAATCACCCCTTGCACCACCCTATACTGGTTAATTCCCATACACCTTTCAGGCTTCAGCTGAGGCATCACTTCTTCCAGGAAATCTTGCTGGTACCCTGATTGACAAGACCCTCCTAAGTTCACCCTATACTTAGTTCAGTTTTAACACTTACAACTGTAGTATAACTGCCTACTCACTCGTCTGCCTCCCCTACCAGACCAGGGGCTCCTCAAGGCAAGGACCATATATAGCACAAGGTCAACACTTGGTAAAGATTTGTGAGCCCTTAAATGTACACTCCTGAATTCCTTTTCTCTGTTGCCTCACCTTAATCCTTCTTCAGGCTATGAGGCAGGCTGTGGCTGAAACCGTGGAAGAGCTCAAGATGAAGCCTACGATGATGAACTTGGTGGAGGCGTGAGTGGCTCAGGCTGAGAGCTGCCAGAGCCAAATCCTAGGCTGTGGGAAAGCAGCACAGGGGTGGGGAGAGCTGAGAATCTGATCTCAGTTCTCAGTTCTCACTGGCCAAGTGACCTCTGGGATTTTCTTTATCTGCAAAAGGGGGCTGGTAATATCGACCACTCAGGGTTGCTAAAAAATATAAGAACTCAAATTAAGATGAAGACATGAAAGGGACCTGTAAAAGGTAGAGTTCTGGACAGATATGAGTCCAAATTGTCTTTCAGTGCCTCCTGGAAAATTGCAGTACCTGCCTTTCCCTTCCCAACCCCTTTCTTGACCCAAGAACAAGAGGGAGAAAATGATGAAATTAGCCTCACTCACTGGCCTTAAGCCCAACTCACTCTGGGCTATAAGAAACAAATGGCCTTCCTCCCCTATCCACTAACTGGATCGCACACTCACTCCCTTCTACACAGGCAACTGATGAACTCAAATGCCACTGCACGCCAGGAAGCAGTCATCTCTTTGGTAAGGCCAGCTCTGCTTCTCTGATGTGTTGATGTCAAAGGGAGTAGGCAGCTCAGCACAATTACTTAGAGGCAGAAAGGGCTGTAAAGTTTGGGGAGGTTTGCTGGCTTGTGTAAGAATGCCAGCCCTACCATGAATTCAGGGGTAACCTTTTCTTCAGGATCAGAGGTAGGTGGGATGAGGGACAGGAGATGGTTATGAGAAGTGTTGCTTCGATATTTGCAGGAATTTGTCTTGACTCTCTGGTGAACAGTATGCACTGGAACCCAATGCAGTGGCCCCAAAAGGGAAAGAGAGGGATTCTTCAGCTGGGGAGCCATAGCTCCCTCTCTCCAGGCCACAGGGTCATCACAGGGGAACTAGAGTGGAAGAGTACAGAAGAGGTGTCTTCCTAGGCTGGCTACTTAATCATTCTCACTCTGCCTCTGCTAGGGTGTCCTGGGGATCCGCAGCCCCAAAGTGTTCCACTTGCTCCTGGACATGCTAGACGCAGAGAAGAGCCAGGCTGTAAAGAAAAGTGTAAGGCATTCCCACCTACCTCTTCCTCTTCTATGGCCCTCATCCAAGCCTCTCCCACCGATCCCCACCACTTACTCTTATCAGGAGGGAGAAAGGGGGTCAGCCCCAGTGGCTGGGCGGTTTAGCGCCGCTTCAGCCCAGGGAGTGATCCTGGGGATCTGGGACCCACACCTGCGTAGGGCTCTCTGTGTGGAGCCTGCCTCTCTGGGTCTCTCATGAATAAATAAATATTTTTTAAAAAAAGAGAGAGAAAGGGAGTAGGGGAATGAGCCCTCAGACACTATCCCTGGACTTCACTCCACTCCTTGGGGCCATACTGGCCTGTGGCCAGAGCAGCCCCCCTCCCTAGGGCACCCCTTACCCCTCCCAGCCTTAGCCTGAAGGGAGCCAGCCAAAGGACCTTTGTTTCAATGCAGCTAGAAGAAACATTAACTCTGGTGGCTTCAATTGATCCCTGGATCAAAAACAAGCTGAAGAACAAGGTTCTCTTTGTATACAAGGCACCTAAGACTAATGAGGAGGCAGGGCCTACAAGGTTCCGGAAAGAGCCTGAGAACCTAGAAGAGTTAAATATCCAAGACTTTCAACTTGTACAGCTGAACCCCTTGTTTATTGCAAAGTCCAGAGCCACATCAGACCAACAGAAAAAGTTGGGTATCCAGAAAGAGTCTGCCTTCTACCTCAGCTCTGCCTTCCTACCCCATGTCTCTAAACCAAAACACAAGGCACAGGCCACAGGGCCCTGGGTGCCAAAGATCAGGAAACAGCTCCAGATCCTTGCTAAAACCTCCAAATAGGTTAGTTCTTTGAGCCTATCCCTCACTCTCTCCCTAAAGTTGCTTCTCAGGCTCCCCTGAGAATACAATCTATACCTATCTTCCATGAATAAACAAGTATCACTCTACCTACCACTGCTGGTTCCTTTGTCAGAGGCTGCACGGAAACACAGGTCTCCTCACTCCTAGTTGAGTGTTAATTCACTCAACCACATGTCCTTTTCACAAAGGGAAAGAGCCAGAGCTGCTGCAGTGGCCAACCTTCCTCCCTAAATCAAGCCCTTGCTTATACCCAGAATTTGATGAGCCTCTGCCCAGAGTGGGCTGGAGAAGGGAAAGCAGGAGAAAATCCTGGAAAGCTTGGCTTTGGACCATTGCCTCTTACTAACTCACCCCATCTCCCCCCACACCACAGTACCACTTTCCAGTGGTAAGGAGACACTGAGGCTATACTTAAGACCAACCAACTCGGGGATCCCTGGGTGGCTCAGTGGTTTAAAGCCTGCCTTTGACCCAGGGCACGATCCTGGAGACCTGGGATCGAGTCCCACATCGGGCTCCTGTCATGGAGCCTGCTTCTCCCTCTGCCTGTGTCTCTGCGCCCCCCCCCCCCATGTCTATCATGAACAAATAAATAAATAAAATCTTAAAAAAAAAAAAAAAAAAAAAGGACCAACCAGTTCTGCTGTCTCTTCTCCACCTTTCTGCCTTCCTCAGGGCCATATCCTGTAACAGGCCCACTATTTACCCTCTGAAACTGTTTCTGTTTCTCCTCTATTTGTACTAAAGCCTTATTTCTCTTTGCCAACAGGACTTGCCACACCAATCCCAACAATCTATATCCTCCATCAAAAAGAAAGAGTCCAGGGATCCCTGGGTGGCGCAGCGGTTTAGCGCCTGCCTTTGGCCTAGGGCGCGATCCTAGAGACCTGGGATTGAGTCCCACGTCGGGCTCCCGGTGCATGGAGCCTGCTTCTCCCTCTGCCTATGTCTCTGCCTCTCTCTCTCTTTCTCTCTCTCTCTCTCTCTGTGTGACTATCATAAATAAATAAAAATTTAAAAAAAAAAAAAAAAGAGCCCAGACTGTAGAGTCAGAAAAATCTGAAGTCTAATCCTAGGGTACATTCACTTACTTGAACTTTGACTTGGTTTTTAAATATTTTATGTATTTGAGAGAGAGAGAGTAAGTTGGAAGGAGGGACAGAGGGTGAGGGAGACGCAGAATCCCCACTAAACAGGGAGCCCAACACAGGGCTCGATCCCCAGCCCTAGGACCCAGAGACCATAACTGGTGCCAAAGGCATACGCTTAAATGAACTACCCAGGCGCCCCATCTCTCCTCTCTAATGAAACCTCTGAATACACCCTCAGATGGCAGCAAGAACAACCACATAAGACATATATACCCTCCTCCCCTCATCCATCTGCCTGTACTTATGACAGTCATGGGTATTGCTCATCCTCCTCCATTCCTTCCAATATCACCATTATCTGATACCTTCATATAAAAAATCACTGCTTCTATGAGGGTCTTGGCTCTCCTGTTATCCCACCCTCTGGTCCACTGGTCTATTTTCTCTCATTCATTGCCAGAACCTTAGTCTTGCTATCACCATGATGGTAACACCCCAGCTCCTCAGGTCCTGATCTCAACTACAAATGTTTTTCCCTTCCATTCACTTCAGCCGCCTGCTTCCACCCCTACCTAGCCCGTCATCCCCAGGAATTGCTTCATCTCCAAAATCCTGAACATCTACTTTCTAACCCAAACCTCCTATCTATCCAGCTCCTTTTATCCCCACCACCAGTTCTTTGAATCTCAATAACATTATGCTCTTGACATCCCTACATTCAATAACTTCCTTTTCTTCTTACTCACCCTGTACTTCACCTATCGACTACTATCCTCACTCTTTTCATACTCCACTAGGTTGAAGACAAATCAGAAATTTTTATTTAGGGATGCCTAGGTGGCTCAGTGGTTAGGTGCCTGCCTTCGGCCCATGGCGTGATCCTGGAGTCTCGGGGTCAAGTCCCATTATCAGGCAACCTGCATGGAGCCTGTGTCTCTGCCTCTGTGTGTCTCTCATGGATAAAGAAATAAAATTTAAAAAAAATTATTTAGATTACTAATTTCTGACAAGTAAAATCCCAAACAAACCCTGAATCAAACTGCCTGTTCCTATAAATAGGTTGCTGATTAAAGATGGAGAAAAATCACAACCATCCAGACTGTACCCACAAAACACTTGCCCCTTATGTTAACTGACCTCTTATTGTCTGGCAATTTTATGGATTCCTAGTCATTAATACTTTCCTCATATTTACTACAATCTCTTCAAACTTTCTATAATATTCTCCAACTCTCAGCACACCATTAAATTTTACTATACATGGTTGGGTGCGGGGGGAAGACATCAGATGGAATTACCTCAACTTCCTGCCACCTCTGTTATAAGCATCCTTGTACACAGTAAAGAGCATAGGCTCTGAGGCCAGATCCTTGGATTAGAATCCTGACTCTGCCATTCACTAGAGATCTGACCTAGGCAAGTTGCTTAGCCTCCGACTGCCTCTGTTCCTCACTGTATCCTATGAAAAGCCAAGTGGCAATCAAAATCATACCATTCACCTCTTAAGTGTTTCCTATACCTCCCTGGTTGACAGCATTGCTGTGAAAATTAGTTAACACAGATTGCTTATAACAATGCCAGGCACATTAAGAACCTCCCAAGAGATATTAATCATCTGTTACCATTACTACTGGCAACTATCCTTACGACCAGTAACAATGAAAGAGGCATTCTAAGGCAAATCCTTCACCAGGGTTCTGGTCATCATTCCTTCAACTGTCCCCCATCTCTTTGCAAGTAGTGTATAAACATGCTAATTCTCACCCATCTTAAAAATAACCTCCCACAAACCCAGATTCCTGCCTAGATGCCTCCTCTTCTTAACTTACACCACCTCTAACCACCCTTCATATTCAAGATTCTTAGTTGTCCCCATTACCAATCGTCATTTCTCTAATTTCTATTATTCATCATTCCACTTCAGTTTGGGTTCAGAATTCAATTCTCTACCAAAATGCCTTTTGCTAAGGCCGTGGATCTCAAAGGGGGCAATTCTGCCCCACAAAGGACATTTGACAATGTTGGGAGACACTTTTAGTTGTCACAACTGGGGGCTGCTACTGGTGTCTTGTGGTAGAGGCCAGCAATGCTGCTAAACATCCTATAAGGCACAAGGCAGCCCCTCACAGCACAGAATTATCTAATCTGGGATGCCTGGATGACTCAGCAGTTAAGCATCTGCCTTCAGCTCAGGGAGTGATCCTGTGGTCCTGGGATCAAGTCCTGAATCAGGCTCCCTGCACGGAGCCTGCTTCTCCCTCTGCCTCTCACTCTGTGTCTCTCATGAATAAATAAATAAATAATGGGGATCCCTGAGTGGCTCAGTGGTTTAGCACCTGCCTTCAGCCCAGAGCGTGATCCTGGAGACCGGGGATCAAGTCCCACACAGGCTCTTTGCAGGGAGCCTGCTTCTCCCTCTGCCTGTGTCTCTGCCTCTCTCTCTCTCTGCATCTCATGAATAAATAAAATCTTTTAAATAAATAAATAATAAATAATCGTTAAAAAAAAAGAAAAAAGAAAAAGAATTACCCAATCCAAGTATCAGTAGTACCAAGGCTGAGAAACCCTATGGTAAGAGAATTCACAATCTCCATGTTACAGCATGAGGTGCTTTTTTATCCTTTGCATGACTTGGCCTGGCTTCTCCCTCCTTAAAATCCACTCTTTCCTTGGTTTCTACCAACACCTCACTGGCCATTCCCAGTCTCTCAGGATCCTCTTCTATTGTCTCTTAAATATTAGTATTTCTCAGAGTCCTGTCCTCTTCTCTCTCTACATGCTGTCTCTCCAAACCATTAAAATCAATTGGGGGGATCCCTGGGTGGCGCAGCGGTTTAGCGCCTGCCTTTGGCCCAGGGCACGATCCTGGAGACCCGGGATCGAATCCCACGTCGGGCTCCCGGTACATGGAGCCTGCTTCTCCCTCTGCCTGTGTCTCTGCCTCTCTCTCTCTCTCACTGTGTGCCTATCATAAATAAATAAAAATTAAAAAAAATAAATAAATAAAATCAATTGGGGCTCTTTTTTTTTTTTTTTAAATGCCTAGACCTAACAGATTTCATTGTTTTGGAGTGGAACCCAGCAGCCTTGTGTTTTAAACTTCCTCAAGTATACAGCTTCGGTGGTGAAGCAGTACTCTAAACAGTCTTACTATAATTATATCCACTAGCACTTTAATTACCATTTATATATTAATAGCTCTCATTAATCTCAAATCTGTATAACAAACTCATTCATTTAGTCAATATTCATGGAGTACCTACTCTGTTCTCGGTAGTAGAACAGTGAACAAAAGATAAGGTTCCCTATCTTCCTGGAGCTTATATTCTAATGGAGAAAAGAGAAATTGACAACCACAAAAAGGTCATTCCAAATAGTGATAGATATTGTGATGACATTATAAGAGGTGATATGAGAGTCACTGAGTTAGGGTTTTTTTTAATTTTTGTTTGTTTGTTTGTTTTTTTATTTATTTATGATAGGCACACAGTGAGAGAGAGAGGCAGAGACACAGGCAGAGGGAGAAGCAGGCTCCATACACCGGGAGCCCGACGTGGGATTCGATCCCGGGTCTCCGGGATCGCGCCCTGGGCCAAAGGCAGGCGCCAAACCGCTGCGCCACCCAGGGATCCCTGAGGTAGGGTTTTTAATAGGAAGGCCGGGACAAGGGGTGAAATCTGACCCAACACTGCAGTGAAAAGGTGTCAGCCATGTGAATATTTGAGGAAGGAGAATCCTAGACAAAGGATATGCAAAGATACTGAAGCAGAAGCTTATTTGGTACCAATATGAATTATGATATGTGGAATGTAAGAAACAGTACAGTAGATAATAGGAGAAGGGAGGGAAAACTGAATGTGGGAAGAAATCAGAGGGAAACCAACCATG